TCCCCACCTCTCTTCAACGAACAGGTTGGTTTGATCGTTGCCCTTCTTTGGTTGGTGCAGAGCCGCAACTTTATCAACTTCAGCAGCATCACTGTCCACTTTGACTGTTTAGCGGCCGGACTAGCCGCTGACGGCTCGGCCTCCGCTACCAATGGCATGGCGCCAACCCTCAGGGCACTTCAGCACTTCGCTGCTGTCGCCCTTGGCCAAACGCCACGGTTTTCGCATGTACGGGCTCACCAAGGAGAACCCTACAACGAGCTGGTCGACGTCATCGCAAAGGAAGTCGCCCGGGGCAACGATGACATACCAAGGCCCCCACCAGAGGTATGCCGACTCGCCCAACACAGCGACTTGTCCTGGCTAGCGGCCTCGGTTGACACAACCTGGACAGGCGTCTTGCCCATCAATCTTCATGGGCTACAATGGCAAATGCAGGAGGACTTCGGCCCCTCACCCTTGCAGCCCACCGACCTGATCCCTGTCACCCGCCATACCTCGACCAGCACATCCGCAACTGAGATCCGGACCGTCCTCTTCTCGCTGAACGCACAAGGGCTTGGAGGCAAAGAGCGCTACTTCGAGGACCAATTAGACAAGATGGGGGTGAACATAGCCATGTTCCAGGAAACAAAGTCCCAGGGAGGGCTATGTCAGACGGCCCGTTTCCTGCGGCTCTCCACCAATTCGGACCGTCACTGGGGAGTGTCCGTATGGCTGAGCAGGACCCGTGGCATCGGCCACTTTGGTGATGCTCCATGCACGGTCGAAGAGGCGGATATCCACCTGTTGGCCCAGAGCAACCGCATGCTGGCCCTACAAATTACAAAAAGCGGGCACCGCTTCGTGATCATTTCTGGTCACTGCCCACATGAGGCAAAGCTCCCCGAGGCCAAGACCTTCCTCCAGGACTTGGCGACAATCCTTAACGACCACAAGCTGTCCTGTCTTGTCGTTGACTACATAGCGATAGGAGGCACTGCCATGCCCTCGGATGTGGTCAGCTGTGTCCCTACAATGTTCGACACAGGAGCGGCTCACGACGACCATTGGCCGGTCCTTCTTGCTCTTCGCGCTTCGGTTGTCCCTCGGCATGATCGGCCCCGCCTCAGGAGGGAGAAGTTTGACACCGCCAAGCTGCTCACACAGGAGGGCCGAGAGCTCTTCGCGGCGGAGCTCGATCTCTTCCAACACCCGTCCTGGGCGAGCCACCCCGATGAACACTACCAGGCCGTCAAGGAGCACATCCTCGGCATCATGCGAAAACACTTCGCCCTGCCGACTCACCGACCGCGCGCGAGCTACATCTCCCAGGACGTCTGGACCCTCAGGGACTGCAAACAGCTCCTGAAGTACAAGACGCGATCTCGCAAAGACCTGTGGAGGACCCTCCTGCTTCGAGCGTTTCTTCAGTGGCGTCACGATGCCGACCACTCGGTGCAACAGCTTGTTGCACGGCACGGAATACTGTACCAGCTGACCGCTGCGGCAGTCACCTTCGCCACCCATCGCATCAAGACCGGCATCCTTCAGTGCAAGAACACCTTCCTGAAGTCCCTGGCGGGCGATCCCGGCCAACCACCAGGAGCACTGCTCCGTCAAGTTAAGGCAGCTGGAGTCGGTGGGGCCAAGCTCGACCGGTGGCCCGGCCACTTCCGCAGTTGGTCATGTCCACTGGCCTCCCAGCGACTTCTCGAGCCAACAGAGACGCCCTCTGGATGTCTCACTTCGGGCAGCAGGAGCTAGGGGTGCAGCTCTCCACAGAGGATTACCTCCGACAGCACTGCACGCCACCCTACCTCGACACCACGGTTAATTGGGCCATCAATGACTTCTTGTCCCTGAACGACATCGAAAACGCGGTGCGACAGGCACCCCGCAAGAAGTCGCCTGGTTTGGACAATATCTGTGGTGAGATGATGTTAGCTGCCCCCGGCTCCTTTGCGAAGCTTCTCCGTCTTCACTAAGGCAACAGCACACATGTGCCAGCCAGTTCACTGGCGTGGCGGCATCTTGTTTGAGGCCTACAAGAGAAGTGGATGCAGCTGGGACCCCCAGTCCTATCGCTCTCTATTTGTGTCCTCGGCGGTAGGAAAATGTTTTCACAAGGCCTACCGTACGAAAGCGCAAGACATCATCAACGGCTCCCTCCACAACTTTCACATGGGAGCCCGCCGACACTGCCCGGTCACCCTACCCGCCTTGTACATCTTGGCACACCATCGCCGAGGCCGTGCAAGCAAACAGTCCGTCGCAACCTTCTATTTGGACACTGAATCGGCCTACTACAGGGTCACCCGGCAGCTGGCTTTCGGCAACCTCGACAACGACGACTCCGTCATCCGTGTCTTCCAGCACTTCGGACTTGAGCCATCCGATGTGGCTGAGATGATGGAGCAGGTCCTCCATGGGGGCATGGCAGCCGAAGCGGGCCTCACCGGTGTCATGCGGCACTGCCTCAAGGATTTCCACGCCAGGGCCTGGTTTTCCACAATGTACCCGGACGGAGTCACCCTCACCCAGACAGCTGCTGGATCTCGACCGGGTGAGTCATGGAGCGACATCGTTTTTGGATGGGTATACTCTAGGCTCCCGGCCAAGGTGACCGAGCACGCCATCGCCGAGGAGCTCATCGAACACCTTCCGGTCGACATGGCGGCTGGACCTTTCTCTCAGGTCCACTCGGGCTTCCATGCAGTGGCATCGGACGCCACATGGGCCGACGACAGTGCTTGGCCACTGGCTCATGCTGTGCCAGATCAGCTCGTCAAGAAAACCAAGCGCCTCTGTGCGCTCATCATTGAGTTCTGCTGGCAGCACGGTCTCAAGCCGAATCTCCGACCTGGGAAATCGGCGATCATGCTAACCTTGCGTGGCAAGGGAAGCCGAGCTGCCCGGCGAGCTCACTTCAGTGCCGGCGGAACAACCCTTGAGCTCCCGCAGCTCGGGGTTTCGGTCCCCATCTCCAACCACTACAAGCATCTTGGTGGACTACTTGATGGTGAACCGACTTTGATGGCGGAAGCCCGCCGACGAACAGCCATAGCGGGGTCGGCCTACGAGGCCGGCAAAAAGCTCCTGTACTTGAACCCCCGCCTGCCCATGACAACCCGGACGGCATTGTTCAAGGCTGCCATCGATCCGGTTTACTTCAACTTGGGGCTCATGCTGGGTCACGGTCCGGCCTGGGCCGCCCTGAGCGAAGGCTACTCCCGTCTCCTACGACGACTCTTTGTCAAGCAGTGGGGAGGTGACGAATCCTTCCACCTGCCCCTTCCGGCTGTTCACCTTGCTGCCAATGCTCCACCACTCGAGCACCTTGCCAGGCGGGCACGGCTCAGCCTCCTCTGCTCCATCGCCAAGGCAGGGCCACCAGAGTTGTGGGCCATGCTACAAGCTGAGCAGACCTGGCTCACACAGCTTCGCGAAGACATCGCTTGGTTGGTTGGCGATGACGGCGATCGATGGCCACCGCAAAACGCCTCCAGCTGGCCTGAGTGGCTTGCAATGCTTCGAACCTCCACTCTTTGGTTCAAGCGGCAGGTCAAACGCCGTCTTGCAGAGGCGATGCGGGACTATGTCAAAGAACAGTCCCTGAAGCTCACTCTTTGGGCCTTGGCTCAGAAGACCCGTGACCAGCTGCCTTACTCCTCCCCCACTCCGACAACGTGGGGTTGTAGGATGTGCAGCCGGGCTTTCAAAACCCGGGCAGGCCTTGGTGCCCACTTTCGCAAGACCCATGGCAGGGTCGCGCTCTACCGGACGGTGGCCCAGGGCACCATGTGTACTGCGTGCGGAAAGGAGTTCTGGCATCTACATAGACTACTGGTCCACCTCCGCGACTCTCCTCAGTGTACCGCCTCGCTCAGGTCACAGGGTATAGTGACGCAAAAGATCCATCCGGGTATCGGCAGCCGTGGTTGGAGGACCAAGGACCAGGACAGGGACAAACTCGCCCCCTCCTACCACCGATGCGAGCCTACTGCACCGGGTCAACTAGAGACCGAGGCCGAACCTGTCCGACAAGCACATGCATCCCTTTGTGATCTACTGCTTGATGGCGGCCTCCCTGAGACCCAGGCGAAGCTCACTATTGCCATTCGCGCTTCATTGGCATCGCAGCCCCTCCTCTACCCGGAGGAGATCCAATACATCTTGGTGAAGATTCGCGACGAGATCAACGAGGTCACGACCGAGCTCCTCGACGGCACTTGGACCCCCGGTGACCTCCAGAATGTCACCTGTGTTCTCGATGACCTGCTGAACACCCCGTGGCCGCTCCTACCATCGAATACGATTCAGCAGGAGGCGACCACCACGAGCTTCGCGGAGTGCACCCTTGAGGACTTCGACTGGACACAGCTTTTAGCCTCTGTCCCTACTCACGGGACCCCTGAGATGCTGCAAATCCACCTGCCCTGTGACTGGGAAGCCAAGTGGCACCAGGGCAGTTGCAGTATTGATGACTTGGCCGTGAGCACCAGACTCTGGTCCTTCGTTCCCCAGGAGCTGCAGCGAGCTTGGGTGGCCACCCTTGAAGGGCACAAGCCACAGCTCCATGCTGCGCCTAGCTTCTGGCAATGCCCACTGAGCATCCCGTTCCGTGCGATGCGGGCTTGTATGCACCCTAATTAAGCAGCGTCGTACTCTGACCGCACCCAAAGTCCAAATATATGTATATATATATGTATATATATATATATACATATATATATATATATGTATATGATAAGGCAGTATTATGGTTTGAGTATTTAGGCCAACAGTTTGGGGTTTAGTTGATGATATGAACCCTGCGGTTGCCTTAAAGGGATCTATAAGGGTACCTTTAAGGGGTTCCTTTAAGGGATCTATAGGGGGTTTAGGGTTTTGGGTTTATGGATATAAACCCTGCAATACCGATAATAAGGAATATACCATAATAGCCACAGTATAGAGTCCTTCAGGTCATGCAGGATCTATATCATCAACCGTCGGATCTGCAATTCGTGGCTTGGCAGGCTTTAGCTGCGCCATGCACGCTTGCGTGAAATCCGCGCAATGGGACCTGGCACTGGAACTCTTCGATGACTTTCCTGGAGGAGGACTGATCCAAGCCCAGAGATCTCCCTAAACCCTAATCCCTAAAACCTATCCGAACCTTGCGATCTCTGGGGTCGACATCAGTTTTTGGGGTTCGGCTTCGGGTTAGAGTTAAGGGCTCGGGGTTTACGGCTCCTAGCCGGAGAAGTCTCTCGGATAGAGCTTGGGGAGTTAAAGCACGCATGGCAGTTCTCTAAATTAGAGCGGGCACCTTTTAGGCTCCTTTGTATTAGGGTGCCGTGCTATGTTGGGACCTAAAAAGGGGCCTTAATTTAGAGAACTACCCATGTGCAGGCCGCTACGGTTGGTTGTGACGAGCTGCTTATTCTCTGCCAGAAGACAGTATGTATACTCTGTGGGGTATCCTCGGACCCAACAATGAAGCAATCGCATTTGCAGGAACAGACGTTGATACCGAGAGGCATGCATTTTGTGCATAAGGATCGTAGCATACAGTATGTGATAAACTGTATGCGACTATGCTTATGCACAGCATGGATGTGTGGGAGCACGTCTCTCTACGCACCTATTTGTCTGTAAACATGGTAAGCGATCGCAGCACCAGAATGCAAATGCAATGCACACATAAGTGCTTCCGATATAGACCCTAAGAAGTAGGATCCTCACCGTAAGGACACTCAGCAAAAGACCCGAAATGACTTCCCCCATGTGCTATGCGATCTTGCAGACGTTGACCAGAAGTAGCGATCTAGAATCTAGTGGCATGAACTGCATGGACCACCATGTCGCAATGGAGGGAACCGGAGACAACATACAGTGAGTGGTCATGCTTTGCAGTAGCATGGAGTGTTAAAGAACACCCTACAGTGACAAACGGCACTAGTAAGTCGTGCACAATAAAACTGCACAGAATATATCCTAAACCTTAAACCCTGCACCCTAGACCCTAGACCCTAAACATCAGAATCCGTATGGCCGGATTCTGCCCTCAACGACGGTTGTGCTGCCGGGTGTTGGATGGATTTTTCCCCTCAGTTTCCGTTTGCATCGGAAATGGGTATTGCGACATTTCGGGCAGAGACATGTTTTCGCATTGGAGCTTTTCTGTTTTGCTTGGTTGCCTTCTTGCCATCATATGACAGATGGAAGCCCTGCACTCAACTTGGCGTCTTTGCTTTACTTTGGTGCAAAACTCCGGTGCTGCAGTATCCCTCAGTCCCTCCCTCCCTCCATCCATCCATCCATGCACCCAAAACCCTAAACCCGCAGGACCTGAGAACCTCAATGCTTCAATGGCGGCCATGACCGCCTTCGGCTCGAGGCTCAGAGGGAACTTTGCGGGCGCAGCGCCAGGACGATGAGTGTGTGGGCCTTGAGAGTCGAGATTCGTAAGTTTGTGCGCTTATATGTAGGGTTATCATTGGGTCAACTCCATTTAGATTTAGGGTACTTATAGCTCTACTTATCTCCTACTTGGATAGTCCCTGGGCCTCCACGTAGAAGGCTGTTGTCTGAGGAGGGCAGTATCACTGCGACTGTTTGCACTACCACCAAGGATGATATCATCACTAACGTCACCGGCAGGCTACACAATATCGCTTGTTCTTATCGCTTAGACCACTCAAAGGCATAAAGCGAACCCTATAGAGCCCCGCTTCACGAAGTTTTGAAATTTTCGGGCCCAACCCAACCCAGCAAACTCCAAAGCCCCGAACCCTAAAGCTTAAAACTTAAAACCTGTACCCAAAACTACCCAAAGCGCAAAAGCCTAAACCAAGACCCCGAACCCTAATGCACCAGCTTGTATGCCCAAAGACTCAAGAAGTCTGTGACGAAGGCCTTGAAAACGGAGAATCTTCAAAAAGCCGTTACCGTAAATCCTAAACCGTTATTCCTCAACCTCAACCCTGAACCATAAGCCCCAAATCCTAAGCCTTTTAAGTAGCTTTTGCTCCCTGCAAGTGGAGTTGTGAAAGGGGGGGGCTGAATCCGCTCGCCTTAAATGAGGCTTGCGCAGGCCGAACCTTCGTGCCGGCGCAAAAGACCTCTCAACCAACAACACCCCCTAAACTTTAAACCCCAAGCCCCAAACCCTCAACCCCAAATCCTAAACCCAAATCCTCAATCCACTTGAAGGAACCCTTGACGACTCTGATGGTCGGCCTGGCCTCCTCAAACCCTAAAACCCCTTAAGGACATCGAAGGATCTCTGATCTCATCTCCCCAAAAAGGAACCCTTATAGATTCAAGAAAGCCCCCTTCAGCCTCTTACGGTTCTACCATAAAACCTAAACCCTCATAGAAGAAACCCTTGTAGAAAACCTTAAAGGATACCTTAAAAGGAACCCTCACAGGAAGCCTACAAGGATCCCTTTATAGGAACCCTGCAAGGAGTTCCCTTGAAGCCTCTTGCGAGAGGTCTGGGCTCATCTTGGGGCAAAGCCTTAGAGCTGGCGGACACACTCCGCCGGGGCGCTTGGGGAGCCGGGCTTCAGGGGCCTATTCGGGAGGCGGATTCGGCTCTATAAGGGGTCCCTTTAAGGGTTTTTTTTTAAGAAATCTATGGGGATGTTTGAAGGGTTTAAGCGATTTCGGGGTTAAGGGTTTAGGGGCTTCGGGGATTTTGGAGTTTAAGGGTTTCAATAAAATTTGGGGTTTTGGTGCTTTGGGGTTTCAGGTTTTTGTGGTTTCGGGGTTTCGGGGCTTAGCTTTCTGGTTAGGTTGTACGGATTGAGGGGTTTAGGCCCAGTTAGGGCTTCAGGGCTTTCGGCTTCTAGGGCTCCAGGTGTTGGGGTGTAGGGGGTTCAGCAGGGTTGCCGGGCAACTTGTAGGGTTTTCCGACTTAGGTTTCGGGGCTTCGGGAGCAAGTTAAGCCTGCATTGAGGGGTTCTGGCATGAAGCGGCTCCGCTTTGGATTGAAACTTGGGGTTTTCGGCAGTTGGGGTTTGGGGTTCTCTGGGCCTCCCAGCCATTTTGGGGGATTGGATGAGTTCCGCACCGGGCTTTGCATCAGAAGTCCGGGTGAGGGCGTTGGTGCTTCCGGGCATACGTGACTCCTGGCTCAACAGCAGCTACACCTGACAGAAGGTGCATCAAGTCTCGCCTTCGGCATTGGTACCCTAGAAGCTTTATCTACCAACCGGGCACGGCTGTACAAGGTCCTGATACAGTCTGAACCTATCCCGAAACGCCACCCAGACCCTGAAATCTTAAGTCCCTAAACCTGCTAGAACCTACCCCAAACCCTACACCCCAGTCCCAACGGCCAGCGCTGCTAGAAGAGCCATGTTGCCCTCGTCGTCCGCGCGTCAGGAGGATGAGGTCCGGCAGGCGTGGCCTTCTTTTGGGGTTTCAGGCTCGTGGCTCCTAAATAGCCTTCCACGCACGAGCAGCAGTACCCACAGAGCCCAATACCCCTTAATTAAGGAATATGGCTTAAATTATATAGGGCTTCGTACTATGATTTAAGCTATATTCCTCAATTAAGGGGTATTGGGCTCTCTGGGTAGTAGCAGCGCGAGGAGGAGGAGTCGGCTGAGTGGGAGGAGGAGGGAGGTGATCAGCAGCATTCTGAGGAGCCCATCGTCTGAACTGAACCACCATCAATCTGTTTAGGGTTTAGGGTTTAGGGTTCAGCGTTTAGGAGCCATAAAGCCCTAAACCTTAAACCATAAAGCCCTAAATCACAGTGGTTTTGGAGCCGAAGCCTCAAAGAAACCCTGAAACCTCGTGAAAGGCGATTGCCGAGCGCTTCGCTGGTGCCTACGAGGTCGGTTTCGACGGAGCGTAGGTTCAGGGCTTCAGGGTTCACGGCTTGGGGTTTAAGGTTCAGGGTTTAGGGCTCAAGGTCTAGGGCTGAGGGTTTGGGGTTTAGGTTTCAAGTTTGGGTTGGGGGTCCACGGTCGTTTTGCGGTGAGGATTTTAGGGCCCGAAAGCCTATGGTTAGTTTAAGGCTGCCTGCATAGGAATCCCAAAGTCGTCCGTGTTCGGGGTAGGAATTTTCAACGCTTAGATGTCCTCCGTTTACAGTTCGTCTTGAGGCAGTTCAGGGTTTGGGGCTTCGATTTTTCGACAAGAACGTTTCTCAGCACAGCTATGCCCAAGCCTCTGCCTCAACTGAAACCAGACCTGAGTATATCCACCAGTTTAGTTCATGGCCAAATCCAGATGCTGTGAACAAACTGATCATGGCATCGCAAGACAGACTCCGATGTTGTTCGAACAGTCGTAGGGGCGGGCGTAGATACGACCGTGTAAGCTTGCATCTTTTTAGGCATGACTGAGATCATACAGGCTGCAGCCGAAACCCCTTGCTCTCAGTGGATGGCCAGGTGCAGCTGAAGCAGTTGACTTCCCAAGCGGATGGCTCCTCGGCGAGAAGACTGGCAGAGGATGCTACCATACGTGAACTTTGGCCTTTATAAACGCTAGCGCACGGATCGAGTTCAACCGAGCATGCCCCTGTGGCTCTAATGGCGAACTTTACTATTTACACCCACCTGCCCCAGCTTCACTGGTAGCGTCGTCTGGCCAAGGCTTTCAGGAGTTTGTTCTACTCTTCGAAGACTGTCGACTTCGCTAAGTCGCGAAGCCTACTTTCATTACACCTGGGCAAGCAAACTTTGATTTGGTGTTACCTTGGCAGGCCTCGAGTGGCGTTGCACATGTCCTTTATCACGAACCCCAAACCTAAACAAAAACCCTGAAATCACTAGCCCAAGACCCACGAGTTGAGCATCTAATGGTGACTCAACGCCTCAGACCATCAGACCAACGGGGGTGATCTCAACGTCGCCAGCATCGTCATTGTAGTCATGATGAAGACCACGAAGCGCTGCGACATCACGTTTTCCAGCCCCCTAAACCCTAAATCCTCAGCCTAAACCCTGCGCCCTGAACCCCGAAACCTCAAACCCGAAACCCTAAACCCTGAACCTTGAACCCAAACCCTGAACCCACGCCCTAGCCCTCCCCTCCCCCCCCACACATTACTTTTCGCAGCTTCCTGGCTACCAAGGCGAGCGGCGGTTCATCGAAGCAGACATCGAGCGACTCCGACAGGCGGTGTGTAAATGGTGGTTACCCAGAGAGCCCAATACCCCTTAATTAATGAACCTAGCGTAAACCGCACAACAACTTCTACTAGCACTACCAGATACGCATCATAAAACCCCTTACGAAGAGACACGCCGACGAGGAGGCCTGGAACGCGTCGGAGGCTGCACGCGGCGAGCGTGCGAAGGTGCAAGCGGCCTGCCAGGCCAGGGTCTGGGTCTTAGGAGTTGTGGTTTCGAGTTGGGGTTTAGGGGCTTGGATTTACAGGTTTAGATTTGGGAGTTTCCGAACATAGGGGACCCTAATGTAGTACCCTAAATAGTAGGATCCTTATTATGAGGACCCCCCAAATACAAGGTACCGTTTTCGGAAACTCCCATTTAGGGTTTGGGGATTTTGGTTCATTTCAAGGTTTTTGGGGCTCAGGGTTGAGGGCTCAGGCAGTAGGGTTTAGGGATGGAGATTGAAGGTTTTGTGGTTGAGGGTGTGTGGATCAGATCCCCGTTTTCGGGTGTGGACTTCTCAACTAGGCAATCTCCGAGTAGAGGTGTAGTAAACCTTAAACCCTAAGCCCTAAACCCTAAACCCTAAACTCCAAACCCTAAACCCTAAGACCTAAACCCTAAAACGTGTGCCCGGCCATATCCCTCGAGGCCGAGCCAGTGCGAAAGCAGAGAAACCAAAGCCCTAAACCTGCACTTTAGGGTTTAGGGTTTAAGGAAACGTGAACCTACACCATAAATCCTAAACCCTAAACCCCTAAACTCCGACACAGCTCACCCTGAGATTTTGCCGTCAATGCCCCAGGAGTTGGGCGCCAGGAGCTTGGGGAACAACGCCTTACGCCAGGCCGTGCTCCAGGAATGATATCTTTTGCTGGGCTCAAAAGGTTTAGGGTTTAGGGTGTAGGGCGAAACATGTGGGTGGTTGTCAAAATTGGGGCCCCTTTTTGGGTACCCTAAATATTAGGTGCCGTATTATAATAGGGACCCACAAAGGGACCCTAATTTTGACAACCACCCATGTAAGTAAAAAAGACCATTGAATTGAAGTCTTCGAGCCACAACGACTTAATGGTTGCGGTATTAAGAGTGTGTATTCTGTATTCATGCTGCTTACCATGTTACAGATACGGGAGTGTGGCTCAGAGGCAGTAGTAAGGCGTTTTCACTTGGTTGTGGTTTGAAAAGGCATGACAGTTGCAGTGACAGAAGTTCAGCGAGACTGTAGCTCCTTCGGAGGAGAAACTTCGTTAAGGCAAAGGGAGCTACGATGTACGTCTGAAGTCAACTTGAGAGAGTTGCAAGAGGATCGAGAGAATTGTGAGGATCGTAGCAGCAGCAACAGTGACAGTCGAGGCAGTATGCCGATAATGGAAGTGGCGTTGGTAGCATTGTCCTGCCAGGCCATCACTACGGCAAGGGCGGAAATGGCCATGGAGGTCGCAAGGGGTTTCAGGTTTAGGATACGGAGATGCCCTGAGCACTGACACCCTAAACCCCAAAACCCCCAACCCTAAACGCTAAACCAAACTCAGAGGATGCCGAGGCCTGAAGCCTCCAAGGTGGACCATGTCCCCAACAGCAGGAAGGCGAATCCAACAGGCAAGCAAGGCTCAACATCTTTAGCTGTTGCACTTCTAGGGTTCTAGGACATGAACGACATGAACGTAACGACATGAAGAACCAGACTTAAGATGGCAAGTGCTGTGGTATACTATAACACACTATAGTACACTATAATATACTATGGGCGATAGCTGCGATGACCTCTCCTCTGATTCTCATCAGTCTTTGCAGAGAGGAAGCGCTGCTGGCAGACCGCCGTGGCGCCCTGAGCCATGAGGCTGCCTTGGTGGGTGAGAGTTTAGGCAGTTTAGGGTTTGTCGTTTGGGGGGTTCAGGGCAGGGCTTGGGTTCCGGATTCAAGGCATACATGATGCAGGGCTGCCACACCTCCCCCCCCCCCCACCCCATGGTATCCTCCCCCCTTGCCCCCCGCTCCCCCTGTGGTGTGGGACCTGTGGTGGTACTCTTTTTTGCCGCGACGTTCTTATGTGTTACTCCTTGTCTTCCCTCTTGCAGTGGCACCGGTGATACTGCTCATGATGTTGTGCTGCTCTAGACCGGGACATGAGTCGACAATCAGACCATGCTCAACATCATCCTTGTCGTCGTCATCTTCATCATTAATACCTTCAAAAGAATATCTGCCACCATCACCATCGCCATACAACTCTCATAATTCAGCAGTGCAATTCATGTCAGATGCTGGAAACTACACGGCAGGGCATAGTGCGACACTCCCGATCCGCGCACAAGGTCAAGCCGCGGCAAGGTGCGGGCCGGGGGCGGGGCAGCGCGGGTGGGTGTGCAGCAGCAAGGCAGCACGGGGGGGGGGGTACCATTGCGG